ATAATAACATGCACAAAAACAAGGCAGAGCAAAACCAAGCAACAAAAGAAAACAAAATAATCACAACAAAAAGCCAATGACAAAAGAACAAGAACAACAACAAAGAAAATACTGTAGTTAGTTCAAGGACTGTTTGTTGGCCTTTAGGAGTCTGATGGGGTGCCAAGCCCTGGCCCCAAAGTCTATATTTGGTATTCCCTGGGGACTTGGTTGCTCTGTTCCCCTTGCTGTTCTGCTTCAGGCCCTTAGTGTTTTGCCCCTGTGTGGTGGGATCAGAGTGGGCGGAATTCCCACACTGTGTCTCCAGTATTGTCCTCTATAGGGCTGTGGGTCAGTGAGGGCTGTCGTGTCTCAAAGTGGGGCTGGCCATATGGTCTTCTCTGTGGATTGGCTGCTATGAGTGGGAATCTCATCCTCAAGGCTTGGTGGGCTATTTCTGAACTCTTGGTGTTAACCTGGATTTCTATTTGCTGTTTTTGAATGGTTTATAATTTTTCATTTATTTTGTCGGTTTGTTTGTGTGGTGCTTTCTTGAGTTCTTTTAAAGTTTTTTCTTTGTTTTTCTTACTTTTGTTGATCTTTCTCTCAATCCTTTGGAGGAGTCTAAATACTATTCTTTTGAATTCCTTATCAGGTACTTCCAATGCCTTTGATTTTTGAGAAAGGTCTTCTGGTTCTGAAGCCTCTGGGTATTTGAGTCTCTTTGTTTCATTTATTTGTGTGAACTGAAATTGTCTGTTGACCCCAAGGTTATGGAGTTATTGTATTTAATGGATTTTTTTATGTTGGTGAGACATGTCACTCACTAGCTCCTGGAGAATGTAATAGACAATGAAAATCTATGCACAGTTCTCTGTTTGCTGTTCATATAGCACAGCTAAGAATGCTTATTTGGTGATTTCTATTATCTATCAACAATAAGATGGCACTGATGTGGGTAGTAGCTCTCACCCAGTAGGTGTGGCTATAGGAGATTGGATGTGGCTGGGTCAGGTGGGTATCATTTCTGTCTCTAGTCAGTTGGAATATAAAAACAAAACAAAAAACAACAGCAGAAAAAAATGAAATCATTAAGAATAAATAAATAAACAAGCAGAGGAAAGCAGGCAAGTAACAGCAAAAATAATATTAATAACTAAAAAGAAAAAAGGAAAGGAAAAAAGGGAAAGGTAGGGGAAAGGAAAAAGGAGAAAGTACGATAAGCAAAACTAGGGAGGGGGAAACAGAAAAGAGAACAATAAAGGAAAAAACTCAGAAATAAGCAGAGAAGGGAGAAGAAGAAAAGAGAAACAGAAGGAGAAAAGGAAAATAAAAGAAGGGAACTAAAGGATGAAAAACAAGGGGAGGAAAAGAAAATAAAGGAAGGAAAAAACGGAGGCAGGGGCAGGACCCAGAGAGGAGGAAATTGTGGAGGGAGGGCTAAGCTATCTGATATGGATCAGCACTGTCTGCTAGCCAAGGAGCTCATGGGATAGCAGGTAGAGGGTGAGGGGATAGAAGATTTATCTTAGATGTATTTCCTACTGGTGTATCTGTTAGCTGATCTAGAAGACATTAATGCAAGCTCAAATGGTAGCTGAGCTCCAGCCTAGTGGTCAAGTGGGACTAGGGTGGTGGTTTGGGAAGGAATTATTGCCCACCCAGGATGACTGGTGACAGACAGGCTGCTTGTCTGGCACTGCACTATCTGCTGTTCTGATGGAGTAGAACTCCTGCATCCACATCTGATCCCCAAGGCCATAGCTCAGTCCTTAGACAGCGCACAGTCTGTGAGGGCAGGGTATGGTCAGCCACTGAATGAATGAGGTTGTAGGCTGGCCACTGCTTTGCTTACCAAGAAGGTGTGAGGTACACGAGAATATCCTGTCTTTCAAATCATTGGCCACTAGTGTCAGTGCTTGTGTTGGTCCTGAGAAAAAGAGCTGATTTGGGCAGAGCTACATCAAGCCTGCTGATGCTTCACCCTCTGGTTCCTCTTTGGATGCTTTTGTTCAGCTGTTTCTTTCTAGTTGAAATTCAGTTCACTTCTCACTCCTTCCCTCTAACGCTTAGGATTCCAGGATTAGCATCCATATTTGTTGCACCTGGTCTCTTGTGTCTTTGTTATAGAGATCTGTGTAGCGTGCCTGCTTAGTCCACCATTGTGCCGGCAGTTCTACAGGTATCCTGAGCATGTCTAATCCTGAATTGTAACCTGTTAACTTCCCTAATAGACTCCATAATAGGGAGTACTGTATTGTCTGTGAGTTCTGTGTGGCCATTGCCATGAATTATAGAACCCGGCAGAGAAATAGAGTGCCATGGGAGGATAGTTGGTGTCAGAGTGGGTAAAGGAGGGAAGAGGTGGGGGCATGTCTGACCTCTGCCTTGTAGGAATCGGCTTTGGACTGGCATTGAGGTTGATTCTTTTCCCCCCTGGTGAAGTCAAAGGAAGTCAGATGTCACCGCTATGCCATCGGTAAGGTATACTTTTATTGGCAGAGTCACATAACAATGGGCACAGATACAAGGAAAAATAGATATTGGGAACACATACTTAGTATGTTTATTATGTGGTATGTTTATTAGCAGTGAAGCGCAAGAAATGATCTAACTTTGGAACTGTGGGAGAGACGGTTGAGAAAGATGAAAGTTGAAATGTGTGCATGAGACTTAGCAACATGAAGGGTATCAGTGACCTTAGCAAAAGTAATTTTTGTGACCAGTAGAGTATAATCCATATTGTTAAGCTTGAGACTTGGGTGGGAATGTTGGCAATGAGGACAGGCAGCTTTGAGGAGAAGGGAGAAGAGAGAGCAGTAGCCAAAGACGACACTTGGAGTTTCCTTGTTTTAGTAAGAAGTATGTTGGAGCGTTGTCTGCCGGGGTCCAGTAGAGAAGGACATGTTGAAGATGCAGGAGAGAGAGGGAATGATTAATCAATAGCATGAAGCTGGAGGAGGGGCCAGGGGGAGACCCAGAGAACAGATAAGAATGACACCAGCAGGAATCCTGGGGATCTAGGCATGGGGCTGCTAATCACAAGTTTAGTGGTTCAAACCCACCCCCTGCTCTGTGGGCCACCAGGCTGTCTGCTCCCACCAAGGTGTACAGTCTTGGAAGACCAATATGAGTCCGAATCAACTCGATGGCAGTGGGTTTCATTTTGGTTATAGGGAGGAGGAGGGACCCCACCTGGCCACTATTCTCGAATTGTCATGGATTTAGAAGAGACATCAGCTATCTTTTCCACAGTCCCTGTGGTTATGCTCTGGTGAGTTCGGTGACTTTGGATTATTAGGTCAACGCTTGAAACCAACCAGCCAACGAACCCAAAGCCAAACCCACTGCCACCGAGTCGATTCCAACTCACCGCTCTATATAGAGGATTTCCGAGGCTGTCAATCTACCAGCGGCAGCTCCCCGGGAGAAAGACTGGGCTTTCGACGCTCATCAACAGTAACGTCGCAGAAACCCACCGGTCGCTAGGAGTTGGCATCGACTCCATTGCAGGGAGTTTGGTGTTTGGTTTGGAAATCTTGACCAGAGCCAGTAGCCTCCACTTTCTCTTGCCGAGGGGCTCGTGGGCAGGACCGTCCTCCTCGGGGTTCGCAGCACGCTGTTTAGGACCTCACGCGCCAGCAGGGCTCAGGAACGCTGGAAAAGCCTTACAAATGCTAATACCATAGGGAACCCCTCCGGCACTAGCCAGAGAGCTGCAACCCGGTTAGGTTCCCCGATCTGTCCGTCGTCTCCTCCGCCCGACACCGTCCCCGTGGGTCCCGGGGTAGCAGGGGTCGAGTGTAGGGTCAATTGGAGTCAGTTCAGGAAGGGGCTGCGGTGATGGGCAGAGGAGAAGGTAGAGAGATTTGGTTTCTCTTTTTCTCTTTGACAGGGAGCGAGCAGCCCCTGCGGAGAAGAGGTGGGGGGTCGGGAACTGAGCGGACTGGCGGGCAGCCCCCCCTACCGCCCCCCACTGCCCCCACCACCCCCAGCGCAGGGCGGCGGGCGGCGGGAAGACGGTCTGCAGGCTGGACGCTGGACCAGACTCGGTGTCTGGGCCAGGTGACGGAGCGGCTCCTGGACCCAGACCTGGGCAAGGGACCCCTCTGGGGTGTGGCGGGAACGACGCTTGCCCCGGGCGTCCCCAGAGGTGGGGTGGGGTGGGGTGGGGCTCCCACGTGCAGTTTCTAATTTGCTTTTTCGGGCCCCATCGCCTGTAGCGTGGGAGATTTCCAGCAAGTTACAACTAAATCGCCACCAGCGCTGTTTCCTTTTGCGGCTTTGGCCACCCCCACCCCCCCCCCCGGGGCCAGCCTCTCCAAACCGGTCCCTTCGGGAAGTTAGGGGAACAGGCTGCAACGTCCCGGCTGGAGTCCTACCCCGCGGAAGGGAGGTCCCGGGCGGCCAGGGGCGTGTGGCGGGGCTCCGGGGGGGAGGGGGGCGAGGGAAGCGTCCCCCCCGGCCCCCCCCCCCCCAAGGGTCCGGGTCCCTCCCAGCCCTGCCACGGGCGAGCTGGGCCCTTCAGCTTCCTGCCTGAAAAGTGGGACCGACCACTGAACTCACCTCTTAAATGACCGGGAAACGACCCCCCAGGATGCTGTGCAGATAGATGGTGCCATAGCGTCGCATCCCTAGTCAGCAGGGGCCGTGGTGTTGAGGGTCACCTTCAGGAGTGCCTCTGGGCGTGGGCTGGTGGGGGGAGTGGCCAGGGCGGGACAGGCGCGCCCGACCTCCTCCACCTGGCCCGTCCCTGGAGAATTGGCTCCGGGACGGACGGGGGACAGGGCTGGACTCATGGCGGGGCCGCTGCCTGGCTGGACGTGCTCGGGCCTCTCCAGGTGGGCTGTGGTCGGGATGGCGGCGCGTGTGAGTGTGCTGTGAGCAGAAAGAGGCGGCATCTTCGGGTCCCCAGAGAGGGCAGGTGCCTGCCGAGACACCTGCTGGGGGGAGCGGAGGCAGGTCACTTCTAAATTAAATCCACACTGTCCCTGCGTGGGGGGCTGGGGGCGGCCGGGAGGATGGCGCCCGGAACACCTGCTGGTTCCGGATGGTTGCGTCGCCAGGAACACAGGTGTGTTCGCTGGCTAATTCAACGTGAAGTGGGCTCTGCGTGCCAGGATGATGCAGGGTGGACGCCCGTGGCGTGGGATTCAGCTTGCCAGGCTCAAGGCTTGGAAACCGGTGGCTGCCACCCCCCAGCACCTCTTTCTTGCGCCCCCGGAATGAGTGGTGCTCAGCTGGGCGCGGCTGGGCCCCTCGGGGATCGCCGGCTCTATGCTTTGTTTCCTTAAGAAAATAGACCAGAGCAGAGACTCAGCAAAGTTGGTTTTCAGGTTCCCACGTACGGTTTTAAGGGAGAGTGGACTCCGGTGTTAACGTGGGACAAATGGGCTGGTGGGTCTAATTGAATGCTTTATCAGCTATGAAGAAAGGCCAGAAACATATGTTGTGCTTTTTAAATGCCCAAAGCGCACCCTCTTTCCCTTTGTATTCCAAATTCTAGAGCAATGATTAAACATTGGTAAAAAATCATTTCAAGAAAACGCAAAAACATGCTGTGAGAGGACATTTTATGAGCACTCAAACGAGGCACAGGTTGTACAGAGGACGATGACAATCGTAAGGAAGGCAGTTCTTGCCTCCATTGCCAGCCAAGACCTTCATTCCAGCTTCCTCCTTTCAGCTGGTAATCCTTCTGAGGACTGCGGAACAGGAAGCTGGCAGTCCTGGCATCAATATTGACACGAGTTTAGACACCCTCCAAGAACAATACTGAAAGGAACACATTGGAGTTCATCTTCATTGGAGGCTAGTGATTAGGTTTTATGATTATTTGAGATATTATATTCCAAATATTGGACTCAAGGAATGATCGATGGTCTTATTATGTATCAGACCCTGTAATAGACCTAGGCAAACAGCTGTGTTGGCCTTCTGGAGCAGCGTCAATTCTGAGGATTTGACATTGCAGCTGTGTACATGTTGGAAGCTCTGTTTATTGGCTGTTCCAAAACCAGCTTAACACACACACATACCTTCTACCTTCATATGCTCCCAATACAAGTGATGGTCACCTCAAATGACATCTCAGTTTTACCAGATCAGAGAGAATGGATTTACAGGGGGGAAAAAAAGAATAGTGGTTAAGTAGAATTTGTACGTATACCTGGGAAGACTCTCAGGTGGAAGTGGTATTTTCCCAGCAACGATTAGTCAGATCCACCTTTCACTCCGTGAGGGTTAGGCTAGTAGCTGTGACTAGCAAGGGTTGCTCACCACGAAACAAAACAACTTGCTGCCTTCAAATGCATATTGACTCACAGTGACCCTATGTAGGACAGGGTAGAACTGCCCCCTGTCAATTTCTGAGATGACAACTGTTAATTCGAGTAGAAAGCCCTGTCTTTCTCCTGTGGAGGGACTGGTGGCTTCAAACTGCTGAACTTGTGGATCGTAGTACAATACATAACCACTATGCCACTGGGGCTCAGGAAGGGGGGCTATCTTCCTTCAATCTGTCTACGAGCTCAGCATCATCCTTGTGTGTCTGTTCACACAAACATTGCAGTAGTAAGTTCAGTCTTCTCCCATTACTTGGGAAGCGTTGCTGTCCTGCCTCAGCAAAGGGAGAGACCTAAGTAGACAGGCTTCGTGTGCCTAGAACATAGCCAGTCCCTCACTCTTTCGCCTAAAGCCACATAGAGCAGAAATTTGGCGAAATAAATTCCTACCAAAGAATTGGAGTTCTTCACCTCAACCCTTTGTGCACACAGTAGTATCAAGTCCCATCATTGCAGGACCACAAAAAGGCCCATAGAAACGAAAACACGAGGCATCCTCTTGTCTGAGTCTCTTAAGTTCAAGGGTATGCCCTATCCATTCCAGCCTGTCACAGATTAATTCTGTATAGCCTTGTCTCTCGTCCCTAACCTGTTACGTGGCTAGAAAGCTGACGTTTCTCTAAACCATCACGAACTAGTGCCATAGCCTTGCGTGGCAAATCTGCCCGACAGCTGACCTGAACTGAAACCTGCCTTCATAATTGCATTAATATTTTCAATTCTAACTCGTGGCTATGAGTCAGCACCTCACTCCTAATTTTCTTGTGTAATTTATGTTCAATCACGATCATAATTCCAGTTCTCTACCTCTCGAGTTTTAGCTGCTTAATTACGGAGTGAGGAAGAAAAGACAACTCCAACCACTTTTAAGCAATCAATATGAAGGCCCCCAAAAGAGTGGCAAAGAGGGACAATGCCAACATTCAGTGTTCATAGACCGTCTCCAGGCCTCTGAGAACAGCTGAAGGAAACCGCCTCTAGTGACCACCAACTACAAAGCAGGGACTAAGATCTGGTTCCACTTGGGTTTGGAGTTGATCAGAGTGAGGGGCAAGACTATGACCTGGGAAAAAGGGAAACCAGGTGGCCAAAAAGAATGAGACTGAATTCAGAACTTAGAACACACACACACACACACACACACACACACACACACACACTCTCTCTCTCTCTCTCTCCTCAGTGACGTGATCCAAAGTCCAGGTGGTTAAGCATGAATTTGTGTTATGCAAACAATTCTGCAGCCTTCCTGAAGCCGTGATAGCCATGATGCCTAGTTGGAGGTAGCAGGAGGAAGGTCCTGGACGAAGCAGCCTGTTGTTTGGCTTCACAAGGCTCTTTTGCTTTACCAGTCCTTTGTTCTTCGCTCATCTCTCCCCTGAAGCTAGATCCTGTGCCCTTTGGGAACTCTGGTTCCTGAATCCTTTTTAATCCAGGATGTTTCCTGGACAGCCTGAACAACCTGTCTGCCCTGTATTTCAGCGACCTGTCTGCCCTGTACTCCCGGAGCGATCGGTTTGCTTCTTGTACGTGCCCTTCCCCTCCAGGCCTCTAAGGATAAGCCAAGCCCACCGCAGCTGCTCTTGCTTCTCCCGATGCCCAGGGGCAGTTCCCAGGACCCCCACCTCTCCACTGAGGTGCCCCTGTTTTCCCAACACCGCTCCTCCTATTCTCTTAAACTCTAAGTTCAAACTCCTCCTGATGCTTCTAGGAGCTGTCCCAGAACCTGGACAGCTGCCTACACAGTAGCCTGGCCCACCCTCACCCCCATCCCATGTATCCTGGTGCTGCCAGTGGGGATGCCCCAGTCCCTCCTCCTGAACCAGCCTGTGGAGCTCATCCGGCAGTGCATCCTGGTTCTGACTGGTGGTCCCTACACCACCTTTATGTTCTAGCAATCCCAGATCCACCCAGCCTCCTCCTGAATGCTCAGATCTGCCTCACCTTGCTTCTCCTTGCTGCGCTGCTGTGCACCCAAGCTGACCCCCCTGATGTACGAGGGCTGCAGCATTGGTGCTGCACAGGACTGAGCCTGCTGTTCCTAGGCACAAGCAGCTGGGACCCAAGCCTGCCCAGCCCAGTGCAGCAGCTGGTTTTGAACACATTGCTCCTCGTCCGTACCAAATCATTGTGCTTTTGCCTCAGTCTTTAGTTTTAAAACACTGATTGAAAATAAATGACAATGCAAAGACAGTCAAACGTAGATTAATATTCTGAGTATGGGTCAAAATCTATACTTACTAAACAAAATATTACACCTGGAAATTTTCACTATTTTAAAATTTAAGATGCAACAAATCTGCTCCTCAAAGTGATTCGCACAGATGACAGACTTGAGGTAATTCAAGTTGGTTTCTTCATTTCAAAGAATCACGGCGCTATTGTTCACTTTCAGATCTACTGGGTAAATGGAGACTAGGGAATACCAAGGGTTGGAGGCACAAAGCACACTCTCTAATATCTGGTGCCATAGAGGATTGTGCACTGGGCTGCTAACAGAAAAGTACGGGTGAGCAGTTCAAAACCACCAGCCGCTCTGTGGGAGAAAGATGAGGCTTATGGTCTTGGAAACCCACAGAGGCTGTTCTACCTTGTCCTATAGGGTCGCTATGAATCAGAACCGATTTGATGGCAGTGAGCTTTTGAGATGGCATTCACAATAACAACAAATGGAGGGAAAATAGACGTCTGTTTGTTAGTCACCTCCTTGTCATTTTTTTATGATAGCAACACTTGAAGATAGAGATTTTAAAAATGTTATTATTAAAAATATGTTATACCACCAATATGAAGAGTACATTTTGATTTTTTTAACTTATTCATTGGGGTCACATGGCTAGCCCTACATTAGAAGGTCAGGCTGGACCTACGTTTAGGCTTACCACACTGCTTGCTTGGGCAGCAACAACCCCAACTGTTGGGCAACGGGAGGGGTGAAGGGGGCACCTGAGATGGACTTCCTCTGCAATAAAGTTCACAGTCCAGGAAATTCAGAGAGACACTCATATGTGTATGAGAAAGAGATGTATATACAAGAGCAATGGAATGATGAGAAAACATCCCAGCCCAGTCCAGATTAAGTCCACGAGTCTGATATTAGCCCACATATCCGATATTAATCAATAAAGTCATCTTCTGACTCACGAAACACATGCAATGACGCCGAGTGCAGGAAGATCACAGGCCAGTGGGTAGGAAGTCTTGTGGATCCAGTGGCGGTGTAAGCATCTCAGTGCTGGCAGGGGTCTCCACATGGCTTCTCTGCCAGCTCCATAGGTCTAGCATAGTTCCATGTGTCTTGTCAGCTGAGAGTCTCTCAGGAAGAGAGGGGGAGAGGGGAGAGAGAGAGAGAGAGAGAGGGAGAGAGAGAGAGAGACTCCCACCTCCAAGTAGGAAAATACAGGACTTCGCAGAATCCTCAGGAGAATACCATGCCCACACAGAGGCCTCATTGGCTGTATCCTGATTGACAGGCTAGACTGACCCCTACACTCTTAATCCTCAAATTGACACCAGATTATGTAACTACCATAGGACCCAACCCTGCTGCCTCTTGTAACTCTGACTCTCCCTTCTTTCCAATAACTTTTTCAGTTTGGCTCCCTCTCCGCTAAAGAGCAGCAACTTTAATGTGAGGCTGTCATGTGGAACCCTGGGGAGATCAGGGTAGGGATTTGGGGAGGTACCTTTAAAAGATAGAAGAGCCCTGGTGGTGTAGTTGTTCTGCATTGGGCTGCTAATAGAAAGGTCAGAAGCTCAAAGCCAGCTCTTCTGGAGGAAGATGTGTCTTGTTACTCCTGTAAAGAGTTACAGTCACCAAGCCCCGAGGATGATATTCCTGCTCAGAGCAGCCAAATACACAGAGAGGACCATAGGGCCGGGCCCGACCACAAGACACAACTTCCCTCACTGACCCATAGCACTACAAGGGACAACACTGGAGGCACAGTGCTGCGGGAATTGTGCCTGATCTGACCCCACCACACAGGGCAAAACGCTAAGGGTGTGCAACAGAGCAGCAAGTGGAGCAAAGCAATGAAGTCCCTGGGGAATACCAAAAATAGATATTTTTGGTGGGGGCCAGGACATGGCACCCCATCAAGCTTGACCGGAAAACACTCCTAAAGGTCAACAAACTGACCTAGAACTATTTATAGACTTTTCTTTTCTGTTGTTGTTGTTTTTGTTTTCTTTTGTAGCTTTGTTTTTTTCTCCCTTATTTTTCTGCTTTAAAAAAAAATCATTTTATTAGGGGCTCATACAACTCTCATCACAATCCACACATACATCAATTGTGTAAAGCGCATTTGTACATTCATTGCCCTCATCATTCTCAAAACATTTCCTCTCCACTCAAGGCC